CAAGCAGAGCACAGCCCTCATCCCCCACTGCCTCCAGTCCTCGGAGAGCACCCCCCCCACCATCACCCCAAAACTGTACATCAACCGCCTCCTGGCCCGGGAGCACCGTGCCAAGCCCACGCTGGACCCCAGCTGCAGGAACGCCGTCTTCACCCAGGTACGGCCGCGCCAGGCCCCGGGGCAGCATCACTTGCCCCTCCTGTGTCTCATCCCCTCTCTGCTCCTCTCAGCTGTACGAAGGCCTCAAATCCTCCAAGAACAACCAGCCCCTGGACTACAGGTAGGTTTTGTGGGGTGTCACCTCCCCAGAGCGGGGTTTTGGGGGGATGCTGGGTGCTGTTGGTTCTCTTGGAGGACGGGATGTGCATGGAGCTGTGTCTTCCCCGCAGGTGGCCCCTGAGCTACAGCCAGTGGTGGGAGTGCGAGTTCATCACCGAGGGCATCATCGACAATGGTGAGAGCGCTCCCCTCCTGCCCCAGGGCTCTCCATGGGGTTTGCTGACGTTGGGGTGCAGATCTGGGGGGTTGCCTGCTGTGGTGGGGTGCACGTGGTGTCCCGGCTGCTCTGCAGGAGGGGGTCTCAGTGATGGCCAATGGCAGGACAAGGGGCAATGGTCCCAAGCTGGAGCACAGGAGGTTCCAGCTGAAGATGAGGAGAAACTTTGTGAGTGTGAGGGTTCTGGAGCATGGCCCAGGCTGCCCAGAGAGGTTGTGGAGTGTCCTTGTGTGGAGACCCCCAAAGCCCTGGCCGTGTTCCTGTGTGACTGCTCTGGTGATCCTGCTGTGGCAGGGGTTGCACTGGATCAGCTTTGCAGGGACCTTCCAGCTCCTCACATGCTGGGTTTCTGTGATTCTGTGACCCCACTCTGCACGCATGGGGTGATCCCTGCATCTCCCCTACACCCCCAGCGCTGTCCCTGTCCCATGGAGATCCCGTGTCTGGCTCTGGACACGTCAGGCACTGACCACCCTCTGCCCTGGCTGCAGGCGGTGGTTTTCGGGACACCCTGTCGGATGTGTCGGAGGAGCTGTGTCCCAGCTCGGCTGACGTCCCCATGCCCCTGCCCTTCTTCGTGCGCACCTCCAACCAGGTTTGGCACCCCGCTGGCTGCCCGTGCTGGCCCTGGGGGGGGTTATCCAGCAGAGCCTGGGGGATTTTGGGGTGTCAGCCCTCCCCTAATGCTTGTAAAGGGTAGAGAGGCAGGTGCAGGGGTGATGGAGGGGGAGGCTGCAGGAGGGACCGTGCTGGGCTGTCACATCCATGCCTGTGCGTCCTGAGCCTCTGTCCTGCAGGGTAACAGCAGCAGCGACACCAGGGACATGTACGTCCCCAACCCCTCCTGCAAGGACTTCCCCAAATTCGAGTGGATCGGGCAGCTGATGGGAGCAGCCCTGAGGAGCAAGGAGTTTCTGGTGAGCACGGCAGGGCCTCCCGGGCTGGGGAGGGGGCTTGGCAGG